TTCGTACCGTTAAATCCTTCTACCTTGATCTGTATTTGCTCCTTCGTACCGTTAAATCCTTCTACCTTGACCTGTATTTACCCCTTCGTACCGTTAAGCAATTTTGCCTTGATCTGTATTTGCTCCTTCGTACCGATAAATCTTTCTGCCTTGATCTGTATTTGCTCCTTTGTACCGATAAATCCTTGTGCCTTGATCTGAATTTGCTCTTACTTACCATTGAAATCCTTTTGCCTTGATCAGAAAATAGTGCAATAAGGCTTAAGCGACCCTTATAGTGCAATATGGCTTAAGCGACCCTTAACTCAATGAAAAATACTCCACTAAACTATGAAATTATGCATCACATAATAGAATCATATACATATTTTAATGTATGTAAGTTTTAGCTTCTTTCGTTGAATACATTTTGGACAGTGAATAAATTTTTTCATGTTGGCCGACTCAAAATTGGGCCCAAAATAAAAGTGCTCCGATCCGGCTGAAATTTGGCATGCGGCCGTAAATGGGAGTGTACAATAGAAATCTGCAATCAAAATTTCGATTTTGACATTTTCCAAGATGGCCGCCATCCACGTGAATTTTCTGCCCTTTGACGTCATTTTTCTCCCAGAAGACGGGCGGGTGGGTAAAAATCATGTAAGGTAGTTAGGGTCGGATAGGTTTGGTGAGTATTAGAAAGTACCGTAGTCTTCGGAAAGTGCTGCGCATCAGGTGGAACCCCAGCAGCCCGGCCACAGTATGCGTCGTGGCTTAAAGTGTCCAAACAAATGTTCATCCACATCCTAGACAGTTCCTACCAAGAGTGAGAAAAATTCGAAAAACAAAATGGCCGCCATACAAACTTCCGGGGCCGGTAACTCGGAAAGTATTAGAAATAGGTAGATAGTGTTCAAACTAATATAGTAGAGGGCGATAGGAGCCAACTGGCAGTCGGAAGTTATTTTTTCAAAATGGCCGATTCAAGATGGCGGCCCGAAATAAAAGTCCTTCGATCCGGCTGAAATTTGACATCCGATCCTATATAGAGGCTCTTAGTATGTACCTGTGGACGAAATTTGGATTCCGCTATTTTCCAAGATGGCCGCCGTACAAGTGAATTTTCGGTTTTATGACCAGCATATTTCTCTCAGAAGAAGAGCGGGTGTATAAGAGTGATGTATGCGAATAATGGTTGGGCGAATTTGGTGTGTATCAGAAAGTATCAAAGCCTTCGAAATGTCCTCCGCATCAAGGACCCCAGCTGCACGGGCGAAGTATACATCTATTGACCCCCACCGCCCTCTATGACATTTGGTCGAGGACCCCCCGCCTATCTCCAATACTCGCCGAGCTATAGGGCTCTGAAATTTGTATGGCGGCCATCTTGTTTATTCCAATTTTGAATTTTTTTCACTTCCGGTAGAAACTGACCAAGATGGCGGCCATTTTTAGTTTGACGACCTTGCCGGTAGGTGCTATACTTTAGCCGCGCCTCAGTGGTAATCGAGCTATGTAGAGCATAACCAGAAGGAGCGCGTTGCGCCGGGCCGCTAAAGCGGCCCGCGAGGGCTTTTTTGGAACTTGTGACTGATCGGGAGTTGGACTTCATATTTCAGTAGAGAATCCTCTTTGGTTGAGTTTGGATGGGAGGCAGCAGGGTTATTGACTGCTCCAGTTTAGTTACATGTAGGGGTAATTGGTATGTTTTCGTCACGTAGTATCCTTAAATATCTCTGAACAAACCAGTCGTATATCACTGACAGCTGCGAAGATTCAGTAAAGTCAATTTTGTATGGCGGCCATCTTGAATTCACCATATTGAAAAAATCCGGTAGAACCTCCTTGACAAGTTTTATCTGAAAGCCATATCCCCATCTCTAACGCTTTGGCCGGGCCGTTTATCAAGAAAACCAGGTCGACTTGGATGTTGCATGTTGCACTGGGGCCGCTTGAGAGCAATGTGTGAGGCTTATGACTTTAAATGTAAGAAAGACTTCGTCGATTGGTTGGTGATTGCTTTACTTTCATTGGCGATTTTTTTCGTCAGGTATATTTGAGTGGGAGGGACCCAGGTATTTGGTACAATAGCGTCAAATCGTATCCTTATATACTTCAGAAGAAACTACTCATATATCATCAATAGTTACGAAGATTGAGTAAAGTTATTTTTTTATGGAATCCATCTTGAATCAGCCATTTCGAAAAAATATTTCAACAGTCTGTTGGCCCCTACCGCCCTCTACGATATTAGTTTGAACATAACTTACCTATCTCTAATAGTTACGGAGATATAGTCCCCCAATTTATATGGCGGCCGTTTTGTGAATTGTGTTTTTTTATATTCCCGGTAGAAACTACTCAGAGTGTGGAGCAACATTTGTTTGGAGACCTAAAGAAAGCTAAGACGCATTCTTCGCCCGTGCAGCTAGGTGCAGCCCTACCTGATGCGGAGCACTTTTCGAAGGTTTTGGTACTTTCTAATACTTAGAAAATTCACCCAACCATTATTACAATATGTAAATATACACCCAACGAATAATGGAAGAAGAGAAGGTGTATAAACACCCTCTCTTCCATGGCTCCCAAACATGGAAAAATATAAAATTTCAGCCGGATTAAAGCACTTTTTTGTCGGCCCGCCATCTTGAACCGGCCATTTTGAAAAAATAATTTTGACGGCCAGTTAGATACTGTCGCCCTCTACGATATTAGTTTGAAACACAATCTACAATAGTTTCCGAGGTAAAGGCCCCCGAAATTTGTATGGCCGCCATTTTGTTTTTCGAATTTTGAATTTTTTTCACTCCTTGTAGAAACTGCCCAGGGTGTGGATGAACATTTGTTTGGAGACTTTGAGCCAAGACGTATACTTCCACCACTATCCACCTCATGCACTCGAGCACTTTCCGAAGATTACGGTACCTTCTGATACTCACCAAATCCATTCGACCATAATTCCCCTACATCATCTTTACCCGTTTTCAGGGAGAAAAATGACGCGAAAGCACAGAAAATTCACATGTATGGCGGCCATCTTGGAAAATGGCGGGAATCAAAATTTCGACCACATATTCCTATTGTAAGACCCTATACACGGCCGCATGCCAAATTTGAGCCGGATCGGACCACCTTTTTTTGGGGCCCCATTTTGAGTCGGCCACTTTGTAAAAATTTTTCCCACCTGATGTAGTCGACTTTTCGAAGATTTCAATACCGATTTGAATACCGATCGGAATCTTGTTACAGAACTGTACTGAGGACAATTCTGCCTGTAATGAATTTGAGACTTTGTGAAGGTGACTGTCAAGAACAGCTAGTTTATTTTTATTTCTTGCATTAATATTATGTCTGTCACTATTTTGTTATAAAAAAAATAATATTTTTCTTAACACAAATAACACTTTCATAAATGAACTGTGACGTACAGAACAAATTATCAAATGCAAACTCGTTTTTATCTTTTCTTTTTTTTACAAATATATTTATTATTTTTAGGTTTAGTGCTTGTATTCTTCTTTTTGTTCAATGTATAATTTAAACTATCCGAAGATTCAATTCTTGAATGCGGATCTTTCGTTCTTGTAATTATTAAGGCAATATCTGAGTCAATGCATTTAGTACATTTTATATCGTTTTTAACTGACCTCTTTTTAATCGGAGGAAGATCTCTTAAGCATCTGACATCATATCTGCTGGAAATTTTCGTATTAGTTGCCCCATCTCGAGTACGTACATAAATCGAACAAGGTGCGTGAAATGAATCGTAAGATTCACAAGAATAATGCGTTTTTTCAGATCGACAAGGTGACTCCGAGGCAATGGTTTGTTTTATCTGTTCTATTCCTAGAACTCCTGCGAGACTCTTTGCTAATATTTCCGCAAAGCTATGTTCGGTTGATACAGTTGGCACGGTTGTTACGTCTAGTTCAGTGGTTACAGTTGATACCGCAGGTTTATCTGATTTACATGGGTTGGAAGTTGTGACAAACTTTCCGTCATCATCGTTGATCACAAACTTTCTTACATCGTCATTGACTTTACTCTCATCGACTTTATTATAAGAGACTAATTTCTGATCTTCGTTTGGTGTACGACATGGATATTTCTCACTCCAAGTTTGGATTAATTTCTGATCTTCGTGTGGTCTACGACATGGATATTTCTCACTCCAAGTTTTTTTATCGTAACATTTATTATGAGACAAACCTGGAGTATCGTTGACTTGACTTTTTCCATCAAAACTATAGGTAAAAGACGGTGATACTTCTGCTGTAACGGAACTATTGCAGTTTGGTAATATTAAAGCTCCCGTTTGTTTCTCTTTTCGACCACAAAGCTGACAATCTGCAGATATTTCAGTTTCCTCTACTATATTTGACGGAATAAAACCACTCAATGCCATTAAACATTTTTTACAAATAAATATTTTTCGTTTGAATTCTTCCGATTCGGCTTTAATTTGTTTCAGGTCAATCGTAGAATCGACTTCACTTTCCTCTTGCTTGTTCACAAAAACATTATCCTCTCTTTGTATTGAATTACGTTCCTTGGATGGAAGTTTAGATATTTCGGATACTTGAGTTGTGGTTGATACTTCCTTGTAAACACTATGTAGTTCTAATTTATCCGGCCGGCCTTTTTCTTTGATTCTTTTAATTTTACTTTTTAAATGGCTTTGCGTAGAAAATTCAGATTCAGGTAAAATAACTGAATTTTTGTCCTTTTCACTTTGTACCGCCTTTCGTTTTTCGGTTAGTTTTTCTTTGTCCGCTGTAAATACATCATTTAACGTCATTTCTACTTTGCTGTCGCCTGATATCACCGCATGTTCTTTGGTGATTCTCTCCGACTTAGAAGTAACATCACTATCTGTTGAAGTTTTATCAGGATGAAATGCTCGCAATTCTTTCTGTGAAGTTGGTTCAGGTGCTATTTTTGTAGAAATCTGCTGACCAACTATTCCAGTAGCATCACATAGTGTACCACATTGTTCTATATATTCTTTAACTGACAAGTTGTCATCTTTTGACTTATGTTCTATTTTAGTAATGCTATCTTCTCTGCTGTGTTTTTCTTGGTTCACACTGACTTTAGTGTTTGATCTAATTCTATTCAGTATTTCTTGTAATATTTGTCCTTCTCTTTCTAACTCTTTTAATGCGTTGGATTCAATTTCTTCAATATTGTTGACTTTCAGTTTAAGCGGATTTTTACTGTCATGTGTATCGACCTGCGTTTCCTTTAAGTATATTCCATATTTATCGTAAATTTTCTTACAAAATTTACCAAAATCTTTTTGACTAGGTTTTTTACCCGTGTTTGATATAACTTTGTCAAATTCTTCTCTAATCTTTATTTTCAGTTCGAAGTTTTGTGCTATTTCTTTCATATGTAATTGTCCGCATTTAATATCTGTGTTGGTTGCTTTATTCTTAAACGTTATTCCATTGATTGATGCAGATTCTGTTACAATATTGTTTTTCATATCGACATTCTTACTGTGTATTGTAACAATAGAAGATGCTTTGGAAACTTGGTCTATGATTTCTATCCGGGTTTCTTTTTGAACTTCTTTAGGACGTTCTTTGACAGTGCGATTAAAGTTAATATCATTAGAGACATTTTCATAATTTGCATTCTTTGCCTTTACGCTTACAATTTTATCAGATATTGATGTTTTCAATTGAGGATTAACCATCGGTGCAGTAGCGTTCGTTCTTTTTGACTTAAATATTCTTGAAAATAATGACATATCTGAAAATTTATTCGAAACTTCGTCCGAAATCTTCGACTGGACTTCTTTCTCGCTTTCTTTAAAATGTCCCTTGACTGGACGATTTCGCTTGATATCAGGATGGACATTCGAGACACTCGAACTAACTTCATTGCTTGCATTCTCTGCATTTGAGCTCACTACTTTACTAGAAATGGACGTTTTTAATTTTAGTTCAGCCATTGGTTCACTGGTGTGGATTTTTTCTGACTTACTTTTCTTTGAACTAGACGCTCTATTCATCTGTTTTTCCTTATTGGTAAGGAAATTAAGATTATCTTCAATAAATTCGTTAGTCACGTCTTTGAACAACGAATTAAAATATTTGTCGTCGAATTTTGTATCATCTTCATCTGACGCATACAAAGCACTTTTACCAATATTGCTATTATTTAAAGTTGAGCTGTGTTCAGTGATCTTTTTCTCTTCTGTTACTGACCCATCTGGATTACGATAAGTTCGTATTTTGACAGATTTTTCATATTTCTGTGTAACCGGTTTTAACGAGTTGGGTCTCTTAGTGGAGCTTGAAGAATCGTTAGATGTAGTTTCTGTATCTACGTGATAGATACAAGGTGTCCTCAAAACAAAAGAAATCTCCGGCTTTATCGCGTCATTTACTGTTGTATATTGTGAAAAAGATTCATTAAATTTACTTACTGGATTTTTAACCGCATCTATATTTTTAGGCATTTTGTATGGTACTTCTAGTTTTATTTCATCATATGGCAGGCGTTGAAACATTTCATACGGTTCTGATGTATGTTTCAGGAACACTGATGTTCGTAATTGTCTTGAAGTTCCGTTTTCAATTTTTGATGTATATAGAGCTGATTCTAACGGCACATCTACAAAAGAAATTGCAAGCTCTTCTAAATCTTGTTCTTCTGATTCAAACAATACTGATTGAGTTTCCGTGGACGTATCTACTATTGGAATATTGTCGTTGAAAATATCTTCATCATATACGATTAATTGTTCTTCCTTAGATCCCGCTGGCGAATGCATCTTACTACTTTGAGCAGATGGTAAATACAGTTGTGAACGTGTCTCTTTATATTTGAGGAGTTTTTGAAAATAGCACGTACTGACAAAGGGCTTATCACTTTCACAGGTATAGAAGCGAGATTTCTTCGCACAGCTGGAAACAGGTATTTGTTTGAAATATTTGTTAATATCTCGATACTATTCAAATTGATTTGACCATTTGGTGCTACCAATTGTTTCATACTTGCCAAGCGTAAGCCATGTGATCTTAAATTGAGCTTTAAAACTTCTTCAGTAGGTATTCGTATCCAAGAATCCTAGAACTTGAGTACCATCACTTCTACACGTAACTACTTGTTTTCCTTGTTTTCGTTATTTGTCCTTTGTCAAAGCTCTGGCACAGACGGTGCATAGCGGTAATGGTCTATCGTTCAGTTCCTGGAACACTTTAAGACAACAATGACACATTATAATTGTAGTAGCTATTTTAAATGTTTCCCTCAGCAGCATAAGACCTTTAAAATCTGAAATTGTCTTCTATTTCTTTCTTCTATATTGACTTTTTGGTACAACGAGACTAATATTTTGCTTTTCCGAAAACCAAGTTGTTTTGGTGGATATTTGTGTCCTTGACAAGTATTTTTCCAAGCCGCTGAGTACTCACCCTCACCAATAAAGATAATTAATAATTTGATTTATTACAATGTCATGTGGACATATAATTTTACCAGTAATATTTAAAAAAACCTGAAATAATACACAATGTACTTATATTTTAAACGTATATTCACGTTATTACTTGTTTACAGATTATTCAAAAGAATTTAGAATTTTAATAAAAGAGCCTCCTTTTGGTTTAGTCAATGCTTAAAAATTTTCATACTTTACTTAAATTAATTTTTTTGTAAGCAACATTTTCATCTTTAGACAAACTAGAATATGAAGTGCAACGCTTCTTCAAACATTCCGTGGCCGTAAAGATGAACATTGATTTTGCTTTCCTTAATTCTTTAAATGTATTACTGTGATCGTTCATGAAGTACCCGACCGTTTTGGATTTATTAGGCCCTTTGTGTTCAGTAGAGCACTCACTTGAATCTGCGGAAGTGTAAGGCTGGTCTGTGAAACTATGAACTTCGATACTTTTGATTGTACATACATCGTCATCTTCCACGTCTTCAGGCATAACATTTACAGAAGGATCGTACCTTGATTCTGTAAACACTACAACGTCAGATTGTTCTTTCATCTCACCAGTATCATCTCTGTACCTTTTCTTCGTAATTATTTTTTTTACTCGAGTCTCGTGCAATCCCAGTCCTTCACACACATAGTTTTCAGGGATCTTTACAATTTGTTGCGAAGGCATTGCGTTTATGATTATATCACATTTACAAGATTGTTCGCAAACAGTACCCGGTTTTGTGTTACATAGAGGGCATGTTTTTATATTTTTTTCTGATGAATCTATCTTCAAATGTTTTGACGGAGGCGCAGATGACACAGTAGGCACAACACATTCCGGTAATATTATATCACATTTACAAGCTTGTTCGCAAACAGCATCCGGTTTTGTTTTACATAAAGAGCAAGTTTTTATATTTTTTTCCGATGAATCTGTCTTCAAACATTTTGACGTAGGCGCAGATGAAACAGTAGGCACAACACATTCCGGTAATATTGTGCGTTTGTTTAAATCACATTGACTATCTTTTTGGCAAGCACTATCTTTTTCCAATGAATCCGATGTTAATTCATTTTGTTTCATTGTAGTAATTACTTGTAACATGTTATTTAAAAGTTTCTCAAAAGTATTTATCATTTGTTGTTGATTGGTTGGTAAAGCCTTACTAGAACTAGCTTCTGCCCAACGTACGGCTAATTTATTTTGAATTTTTCGACAATATTTCATAATATTTTCTACGGTATTACAATTAATACCGCTCAAATTTGCTGCTTTACAATGTTTTGTAGTTTTTTCAGACTGTATACTTTCTTCAAGTTTAAGTTGAAAATCATGACAAGCATCTACAAAATTTTCTAAACTCCTTGAAGCTGCTGCACCGTCTTGCATGATATTTCGTGTCATTGTCTCAACATCAGATAGTTGCTTTTTTAAATATTCTGTTAAATTTTTTTCGTTCGTCATTTTTTTTTCACATAACTGCCTTATTCGGTCTAAATATTCTTACAAGATTCAAAAAATTCATTTGCTTTAATCGTGAAAACTCCTTCCCCTTCAAAGGATTCTATTATGTTACTTATGTAAGTCATGTGCTCATTTAGATTTTCCAACTGGTTTTCTAAAGTATTTGATTGATGTTCTCTTCACTCCAATTTTGTGTAATCCTAGTCCATGACACGCCTTATTTATATCACATTGAACATCTTTTTGGCAAGCAACATCCTTGATACATTCATCTAAGTCGAGTACTGGCCCCTTTTTATTTTTAGGACTTATTCCTTCAATTGTTTTCAATGAATCTGACAATAGTTCTTTTTGTTTCATTTTAGTAATTATGACCTTACATGTCATTAAAACCTTTTTCAAAACTATTTATCATTCGTTGTTGATTGCTTGCCTTACTAGAACTAGAACTTGTCAAATTAGATTCCAATTTATTTCGAAATTCTTGACAGTATACCGTAATACTGTCTTCACTTTTACAATGAAAACCGGTTAACTTAATGCTTCACAGTGTTCAGTACTTATTTCAGGTAGTTTTATAATAGAAAACTTTTTGAAACTACTTTTTCCTTCACGTTCCGCTCGGAAATCATGACAAGCATTTAGAAAATTTTCTAAACTCCTTGAAGTTGCACTTTGTTGCCCTTGTGTACCAATTTTTGAGACGTTGCCTCAACATCAGATAGTTGCTTTTTTCATTGATCTATATTGACATTAACTTTTTTCTTCATCATTATGTATTTTCTTAACAAAACTGTCAAATTTGGTTTCATATAACAAGATTGAAGAAAATAATTTGTTTCAACCGTGAAAAGTCCATGCCTTTTAAAGGATTTTATTATGTTACCTATATTATTTACGTGCTCATTTAAATTTTTCAACCGGTCATCATCATTGAACTCTTGCCCTGTTAGTAGATTTATTTTGCCTTTAATTTTTTCAGTTACACAGAGCACATTTTCAATTACTTCACGCAACTTTTTTATTTGCGGATCAGGCGATGATAATAGACCAAAAAGCTCCACCAATGTCGTTCTTAACTCCTTACAATATTCAGCCACCTTCTAATTGTTCTTTGGTTGTATTACCTGGTCCTGGTTTGTAAGTGTCTTTGCAAGGTCGTGCGCCATTTTTTTTGTGAAATAACAAAAATATATCTCGTATGTCAAACGTTTCGGAATCAATATTTTTTTAGATATGATTCAATATATTAAGATAAAATCGCTGCATAGATAAGTAATCTTGTTTCTCCTCGGCTGGATATTTGTATATTGTGTAAAAAATGTTTAAATTAATTCAAAAATTCTTTGAATATAGCTTTGGTTCTTTATTTATTCAAAACTGTTCTATACTTGCAACATCTTCTAATTCAGAATATATAATATAATATCCTGAGATATTTATTACTCGTTTTTACTAATCACTCCGCTATTGCTTACGTCAACACGATTTATATTTTAAATCTGGCTTCACCATTACGTCTTTGTATAAACTTAAATGCGATGAACTTTTAAAATTAAAATGAGTATCCTCGCTCATCAAACTCAGCAACTTTGTGTCTGATTCATTCATCGAGTTATCGTATCCTGTTGGAGATTTAGGAATTACTCTTTTCCTACTTTTGAATTGATCCAGTATATTTTCAATTTTTCTACTCAAGGTTTTGAATTCATCAACTGCATCCTTGTTAATATCAAAATCACTGCTGCATACTATATTTGGTATAGAAACACAATATCTTGCTATAGGAGAACACATAGCGGAACTAGAATACAGGATTTCTGAACGTGAAAACAATTTACGAAACCGTGTCATTTCATTTGGTACCCCATATTCTACTTGTTTACCATCGTGGTACAGTCCTGACCTATGTGACGTATTAGAGTTTCGGTAAGCAAATCTTCCTTTACAACCCATTTGGTCAGGATTATTGGAATGCGGCAAAGGTATCTTGGTTTCTCTTCTAATTTTGATCACCTTCGTATCTTCGGTAATTGAACCATCTGAATGTACTTTTCTAAGAACTGTTGTTATAACTTCAATTTCTGTTTCATATATTCCTTCCATGTCATAATCTTCTTCTTCTTCTTCTGCACCTTGCTGTAATGGTGACGCAGATGCATGGCGTGAGCATGGCGGGGATATTAGAAACGACTTCCTTTTCTGTTTATCTTCTGGGCTACCATACTGATTTAAATATATAAATTGACACTTAGGACATAAATTATCGTACCAGCAGGAACAAAATCTGGGCATTTCATAAAATCGCCGGTATTCCGTTTGTTTTTAGCTTTCAGCGATTTAGCTCGCAAATCTTCCTCATATTTATCTTTTTCTTGTAACTGACTGTGTAATTGTATCGCTTGTTTTACAAAGCTGTTTGTGTCTTCTAGCAAATGTCGTTCGTTTAAGTCATTTGTAGCTGCGATAATATCTGCAACTTGTTTCTTGAATTCATTTAGTTGTGCCATTGTAGTATCATCTATTGCTTCTGGAGCTACAGGTATGAATGAAACATCTCTGGATGGTGCTCTTCAAGGACTGTAATCTAGACAATCTGGTGCATATTCGGTTGGCTCAATTTTACTTTCCTCCACACAAAATCTTAGGTTTCTCTACCTTAATTCTACGTTTCTTTTTCAATTGAATAATCTTCTTCGTCCTAAAGAACTCTTCTCTCGCCTTTTTTTCGATTTCGCTTAAGATATATGCGATCGATGGCAACAGCCTGGGTATAACTATTTTTTCTAATACGTTCATTTTCCTGCCGACAATCATTAAAAATCACATTTTCATGTTTTTTTAAGCTGCCGACGTTTTGCGCTTATAAGGACTGCACGGATTTGAACAGTACATTATGGAAAATATAATATTTATACTTTTAGTAGTGTAAATAAACCTTTCACTCTGTGCGTGCGTGCGTGCGTGGTTGCGTGCATGCCTGAGTGTCGAGTATGATAAATTAAAATAAATTCTGCAGAATCTAATTTATTTTACCTTCTTTTTTACATTAGTCTTCGTTATTTTTCTTGCACCAGTTTACGAGTATGACTTCCTCGCTGACAATGAACTCTAAGAGCATTTATAAAAGTAAAAAATAAAAGTCATATTATAAAATAGGATAACAAACACAGTGGTAGGTGAAATTGTCTAATTTATTTGTTCAATCCCATACTTTATGATAATTTATTTAAAGTCAGAGCATTTAAAATAGAAGAAATTTTCTGGCTTCAAAAGATTAAAAATAAATAGTAGCAT